AACATACTTTCCAGAAGGCCAACAATTCACTAAAAATGTTTTTTTATTGGTCTTATGAAGTATTCTAATTTGTTGAGATAGTGAATTGGTGGGTTTTTGTTAAATGTGAGCCAAAATCATCACAATTAAAAGAACCAAAGACTTAAACTACTTCAGTCTGTGTGCACTGAATTTATTTAATACACGAGTTTCACAATTTGAGTTGAATTACTGAAATAAATGAACTTTTCCACAACATTCTAATTTATTGAGATGCACCTGTGTATATACATATATATATATATAATGTATTTTCTGTAAAGCTGATTTAAAACAGCATAGCTTTGTATGTAATTTTTTATATTATTTATATTTTATTATAATGAATTTATATATGTATATGAATTTTTAGAGTATTACTGCATATTATATATAATTTATCGTAATTAAATTTTTTATTTATAGTAATTAAAAAAAATTTAATGTGTATTTAGAAAAAAATTAAAACTGAAATAAAAAATTAACCTAAATGGTAGTAATTATTAATTATATAGATATATATTTTTAATTCAAATAAAGCTACAATAAAATATAAATATCAGATGACAGACTTGTTAAAAACAAATAATAAAGTCAAAATCACATAAAAATAGATTTTTCTAAAATATAACAAAATCACTCAAATTTAAATGAAACTGAAAGTATAAAAATAAAAGTGAATCCAAAATATTAATAAAAACTGTAGCAGTATATAAATAATAGTAAAATAACAGTGTTTTTTTAAAAGAACAATTTATCATAATTTAATTTTTAATTTATGGTAATACAATTTTTTTTTAAGTGTATTTGCCAAATTATTATATCCAAAATTAGTATAATATAATAATCAGAATCCAGTTTGTATTATCATTGATGAATTAGGAAAATTAAGCAATCACATCATAGGCCACTTTTTATTTATCCAGTCAATTTGATTCTTTTCTCAGTGATTATTGGAAGTTAAAAGCATGTCACGTTGACTTTAACGCTTCTGTTGTTTCGTTTAGAAAGAGTAGGTGTCATGTGTGCTCTCAGATGAACATTTAGGGAAGAAAGCAAGTTTTTTTCCAAACATAATAGACCTCATCTCACCCACTGAATAAATCTGGCTTGACAGCATCAGTGTGCAGCTGCATCATGGGACAGGAGTGCACTGTAATCACAGCGGATGGGTGTCAGTTTCCTCGTGTGACTCTCTATTGACCTCGCATCGCTCGTGTTTATTAATAATAGTGAATAATAAATGACCTCGTGTTATTCTTCCGCAGTTGGAAATGGAGGATGAAGACACAATTGACGTTTTCCAGCAACAGACAGGAGGACACATCTGAAGCGACCCCGACCCGTCTCTCTCACAGACCACACTCCTCGTGGTTATCTGTAACTGCTGTTGTATAGTGTTTTCAGGTTTTTCTTTCGTTTTGTACATAAAGGGTTTCTGCTACAGTAATTATTACATTGGGATTGTTAATCGCTGTAAAATCTGACATGTTAAGCCCGAGTCTTCTAACGAGTGATTGCGAAACAATCATGGAGACAGTCACCTGTGTATAGACCAACTAATACATGCTTCCCCTTAAGAATCATTGAGGATACGAGCCGTGTGCTGGAGTTCAGGGTTTTGTTCTGCTTCGGATATGAGCACACAGGCTTTTTACAAATTGTGTTTCAAGAAATGTTATACTTTACGCAGACAAACCTGCAGTTCAGATTGACTTTCTGTTTTCCATTCAGACAAATTGGATTTACAACTTCTTTTTTTTTTTATTGTAGTGGTCATGTAAAGTGCGAAACTTGTGTTAAACATGCTTTGACTCGAGTACGTACGAGGGAATTCATGTTTCAGAGAAGTCCAGCATCTGTCTGTATTGTCTAATCGCTTGTTAAAATAAAATATTCTCTTTTTATCAAACTGTCAATGTGTTTTAGTCCCTGCACTCAATCGTTAAATTGTGTTTTTGCATTCTAAATAATTGTTTTTCAATTTGCATAATTTTAGCTATTATTCTTAACCCTTGTGCGTCAATTAAAAAAAGTTACACTTGGGTCCATAGTGGACAAAAATGTCCATGTCATAAAAATGTGAAGTTTAAGTTTGGTCTCATTTTAAAGAAGACCCATGGCAGATTATTGTTGAAGTAAAAAAAGTTTAAAAAGTGAAACCAAAAAAAGTTTAGGTTTATGAAAATGATTTATGAACGATGTTTTATATAAAATATATGTTTTACGAAACATGTTGAACTCTATACCTGCTAGAAAATCAAAGCCATAAATCTAAACAAGTTGTATTCCAAATTTGAGGTTGATATCTCAAAAAATTAGCTTTCAGTAAGATTTTGTTTGGGCGCAGGACCAAATTTTCCCCATTAGATGCCAGCAAAACTCCGCTGGTGCACACAGTGGTTGGATTTGGGATTTTGCAGTAGAGTTTTTTCCTCTCAAATATTACAAGAACACACACGCGGGAGCACACACACACAATATTTTTTTTTTATGACACACATACAAGCCACACTCTGACATCCATACCAACACACCCACACAATTATAGCTGCATTATTTATCCAATTGGCTCTATAATATGCAGAAGCAGAAAACAGAAATAAAGCGAGTATTTGCTTTATAGGTCAAAGTCAAAAATTTAATTTTAAAGCCTTGCCAATAGAATGAAAGCCTATCAACAACAATTGCATAATTTTACAGTTAAACGGCACTGCGATTACAAATAGCAGTTTTAATGGGTTTCAATGGGGACATGTTTGTCCTTAAGGTCCTGAGAGGAACAAGTTTTTGTACCTAGTGCAAAACAGATTTATTAAAGGAAATGGAAGTGAAATAGTAAAATTCCAATAAAAATACACACCTGTGCCAAAATGTATGCAGTTGGCAATAACAGGCAAAAATGATCACAAAAAAAAAAAAAAACTGAAAAGGACAAAAATGTCCAAAAGGTCGCTCAAGGGTTAAACGAAGTGAATTATGATTAGATGTAATTTTACATTATTAAAATCCATTGTAAATGGATCATCAGATTTTCACTAAAGTGGCATAATATGTGTTTCGGTCAATTAACTTTAAGGAACGTTATGGTATTTTGAAATATTAGAATAAAAAAGCAAGTATTTTTTTCGCATAACACGCTTTAGTCAATAACCTATGGCTGATTTTGCAGTAAACTACATCACATAAACCTATGAAGGCTATTGTGTGAATGATGGCCAATCCTCCAATCAAACGCCAGGGACTGCAGTCCTCCGTCCAATCAGGTCGCGCGTCGCTCCGGTGGGCGGGGCTTCGTGGGCTGGTCTAAAGGGCCGCTCCGCTGCGCTCGGATTTCAGCTGGTCCGGGCGGAGTCCATGCGGGAGAAAGGATTTAGACGAATTCAGTCCAGCTGAAGGGTTTCTAACGCGGTTTAGCGAGCACATTACCCGCTCAACATGACTACGACGACCAACTTCCAAGGCATGGAGCCTGGTGCCAAAAAAAGCTCCAGGTAAATGATTTTAAAGGCGTTTACTGCGATCAGAAGCGAAACAAAAGAAGAGGAGCTCAGAGCTGCTGGAGGTGATGATGATGATGATGGCCTGATGGATGGATTTCTCCTCCAATACATGAACGCAAATGGAGCTTATCAACCTGCATATTTAATGGATTTGGATTGATTTCACGTTTTCATTTGGTCTGAATTAACCCAGACTGTCTGTCATCATCATCATCATCATCATCCTCTTCCTCCTGGCCATGAAGACCCATCCACCCTTGTTATAATCTGAGATTCACTCCAGGCTCATTGTATGCAGGTTTGACATGCAGTGTGATGTGATGTCTGGTGTTTTGATGTGGATGGTGCCCAAACTTCACCCAGCACAAAGCAATGGGGCTGGCAGGCTTCCAGTGCCATCTCAAACTGGGTGATTTGCTTTAAAGTTTATTTGCATTGTGTTTCATGAATAGATGCTTTCTCTGCTGCTTATATATATTTTTATCAGTTTAATCCCAGTCATCTGACTGTTTAGTGTAACCTCCAGCTCTGGCCCAAGAATACACGCTCCATTGTCCATGTTAAGAAACATTACATTTTTGTATGTAATTGTCTTTATTGAAATTTTATTGTGCTGGTTTAAATTTTTTATTACTCCGAGCTTGTCATGAAAATAGACTTCTGATATTTTGTTAAATAAAGGAAACACTATCAGAAGAAAGACTTAAATATTATATTAATGCACCAAGTTGCATTATTCATAAATGACTAAACCTGTGACTTGTTTATGACATGCCCTGCTTTGAATTTTTGCATGTTGCTTCCTCGTTCTCGCATGTAAACCATGTAAAATGGTCATTTCTACTGTTATCAAGGATTTAAATCTCTGCTGTTGACGTATTTGCACCATTGCATGGTACATGCATCATAATGTCCTACTGTCTTTCCTTCATGCAATATGTGCTGTTTATTTTAATATTGTGTAATTGATTTTTTGAGCGTCTTTCTTCTGACCCGTGTCTCGTAGGGTGTTGTGTCCCCCTGGCGGAGCCTCAAATATTTCCTTCGGCACCGACGAGGAGAAGCCTGTGCGCAAAAACAAGATGGTCTCCAGTATCTTTGCTGAACCTGATGACCCTCACGCCCACCGGAGGAACAACCCACCAGGTACAACACATACACATATACATACATACATGCATGCATACATCTGGTTTAAATTCTGCTTCTGGTCAGGTCTGGGTTTGGTTAGATTTTAATCCTTGCATTATTTAAAACCAACATGGCGTTAATGTCACCCTTATATGTTCAACAACTATGATGATTTACACAAATGTTTACTGTAAATGAGGAAATCAAGGGCCTCGTCTATATAAAAGTATACACTAGTTTGGGGTCTAAGGTGTGTGTGTGTGTGTGTGTGTGTGTGTGTGTGTGTATATTCTGCTCACCAAGTCTGCATTTATTTGATTAAAAATACAGGAAAAACAATAAAATTGTGAAATAATATTACAATTTAAAATAACTGTTTTCCATGTCAATATATGTTAATGTAATTTATTCCTGTTATGCGCAGCTGAATTTTCAGCATCATTACTCCAGTCTTCAGTGTCACATAATCCTTTAATATGCTGATTTGCTGCTCAAGAAACATTTCTGATTATTTTCAATGTTGAAAACAGTCGCAGACATTTTTTTTCAGGATCCTTTGATGAATAGAACAGCATTTGTTTGAAAATGAAATCTTTTCAATATCTCTGTATTGCCACTTTTAGGGATGTAACGATTACCGGTTTTACGATAAATCACGATAAAATGCCCTGACGGTTAGTATTACCGTTTAAAATTTAATTATCATCAAAACCGTGTTTGATTATCGCAATTTTGAAAACTCGCGGTAAATCCTGTCCAGCCAGCATCAGTCTGACGCAGAAGCAGCAAGCAGTGTTGTTGTTTTTTTGCACGAGATGAAATGGCGGAAGGCAGTGACAGCGCTCGGGAGATTTTTCAGCCATCTAAGAGG